GCAGTTGAAAGGATCCCTGCATCATGACCTGCAAAACAGTGTCATGTGCTGGGATAAAAGGATTGTGGAAGACAGCCTGCAAAACAGTGCTGTTCCATGACACAAGTGTACATGTCTCAAGCTCATATAGCGATACCTCATAATTGTGAGAGGCATCGAGGTCTGTTCGCAGTTTGTGGGTCAGGGCTTATAGTGGCTATTGCAGCACACCCATTGAGCAATTCACAGAACTTCATGTGTGTTCATGGTTGTTCATGTTCTTCACGCATGAACAACCATTAACAAAGCATGAAGTTCTGTGAATTGGTCAATTGGTGTGCTTCAATAACCCCTAATCCTTGCTTAAACCCTTGGGTCCCGGAGACCCGGAGGCCCCCGTAAAGCCGCAAAGCCCGAAACCCCAAAATCCCGAAACGCCAAAGCGCCTAAACCCCTAACCGCCTAAATCCCGACGAAACACAGAAACCCAATGCCCTTAAACCCTTAGACGCTGTAGCTTTTAGATTTTAAGTTTACACAAATCAACTGTTCCTTCTCAATGTATTAAGAGACTGAAACCCCAATCGCCTAGACGAAACCCTGGTCACCAACCGATTTAACAGACCTAAATATGTTCATTCAAGGTTTAGGGGCTTAGGGGTTTAAGGGTTATAGGACTTTAGGGGTTTAGGGGGCATTTAAGGGTTCAGGGCTGTAGGGCTTTAGGGGGTTATGGGTTAGAGGTTTAGAGGTATAGGGACATAGGGAGTTGTGGAAAAGGGCTTGAGGGTTTAAAGGGCTAGAGAATTAGGATTTAGGGGTCTAGGGGTCTAGGGGCAACAAATGGGGGCCTCCGAATTGTTGCTTGAGGCTCGTCATCAAAATCAACTTTTCATAAAATCCATAGAACTTTTGTTTACAAAATCAATGAAAAAATCCATAAAATTCATTAGAAAGACCACGATTGAAATCAATAGAGTTCAGAACGTAAAATGAATAGAAGCCTATAGCAACAGATGGGCGAATCGATGAACATTTCCTCAAAGCTGTTAGACAAATTGGTGTGGGTTTTCTTTGTAGGCCGAAATTAAAAAAATCAAGCGTGTGTCCTCTGGGGAAGGCCTGGAAGCCCAGGTCGATGGACTGGCGTGGCATACCAACACCCAGAAGCCATTGCCCGCGCACCGGTTTTTCGGTCTGGCTTCGCTTATTATTGAGCATGAAAAACGCACTCTCTGATGCGCAAGAGACCCCATGAACAACTCAATGTTCAAAAGTCTTATCCCGCCCCGACCGACCGAGCTCGTGTTTGCAAGGTTAGACGGTTAGACACGGTCTTTTATGTTTTTTGTATACGAGAAATCTCTCAATGGCCCTAATATTCTTCGTGCTTTGGATGAGATTATCTGCGATGTGAGTTCCTTTTTTAACAGCCCAAGTTGAACCAATCAAGCCCACAGAAACGATTTACACCTACCACTTCGGAAAAAAAAGCTTTCACCAGGAGCTCGCGAAATTTAACAGGGCTAAGTGTTGCAGATTAGTTCTCAGGGGGGCTTTCGGACTAAGTGTTTACAGCAAAGAGTTAAAAATCATAGATCTTTAGGGGGGTAGCATATTTATATATATGTATACACATATAATTCGTGTGTGTATAAATAAATATATATATATATATGTACGTATATATATATATAAAGAGATATGTATATATATATATATATATAAACATACATACATAGAGACATAGAGATATATAAACATGCATATATAAATACAGATAGCAGTCTGCGATGGTATACTCCATATCAACCCATACTACGAAAATAAGGAATGCACCGTCGTGCCTGATTCTCGCCTTGGCGCTCGAGCTCCAGATCATCCTGCGCATAAGGTTACAGGCTCGCCGGGGTGTTTCGGCACCATCCACAACGGTTCCCTTCCACTGAGATTAGCAGCTCACGAAAACCAGTTGTTGGAACGGCTCAGGACATATTTCTCGAAGTCCCGTCTGCACGTGCAGGTGCCACTTTTATGATACTTTAATGTATCAAGTATCAAGAGTGTTTACTTAGTTCTGTAATGCGACTGTTGCTCTACGCGGGAACAAAAAACTGTAACTGAAGCATGTCAAAACCTTACCGCAGCACACAGAGCGACGCTAGGCAGCTAGACAAGGGTATGGGAGCGACATCGACGAGACGATGTGGGGACGGAGCCGTGCCGGAGACGGCATCCGAGGGGGACATCAGGGAGACGAAGCGGTGCATCGGTGCATGCCAGGCATGTTGTCGCGTGGGGGCACTGCTGGCGGCGTGATATATGGCAGGGTTCGACCCCTGATCACATCCAAACACAAGATGCCATGGGGCTTGAACCGGCAAATCCTACCGCGAAGCTCCATTACAACCATACATACCGGCATGTAGCTTGGCTGTGGGCAGAACGAAGGTAATTGTCTTTGTCACAAGGACGCCACGAAGCGTGTCTTCATTGGTGTCCTGGAGCTCCTTCTTGCTGCCGTACCTCACCTCCTTGATTCCCCTGCCACAAAGCACAAGTGAGCAGATTCTGCACAGCAATGCTGATTACGTCCGCTTTTCTGGAAGCCATGCTGAGAGATTTGCGTTTTGGCGCTGGCAGCACGCTTTGCTGCCAGAATGTCACTCTCGCCCACCTCTGCCCAATCATGCAGTGCAGACAACAGCGATTCCACTCGGCAGCATGTTCGTTGCCGTAGAGCTCATCGACTTTGATTCGGAACGAGAACGGATCATGTTCACTGCTGTCTGACTGCCTGAGCCTGAGCAAGCGGCCAAGTCCGCGAACGTGTTGAGCTGGGTGGCTAGGAACATGTTCGTGCTGATGAATCTGAAAATGACCTAAGGCCGGCAAGATGTCTGAAATTCTGGTCCTTTCATTTGCCTGTGCCGTCGTAATCTTTGCAGAACTCCCGCTTTGAGCCTAAGGCCCAAAACAAACAACGAATGCTGAGAGATGCTCAGAGTACAGGGAAGTCCGACAACACACGGACCTGAAATTCGAGACATGTAGAAATGCGTTTTCGTCTGACCGTCGTTGGGAAGCTGCTGTCCAGCTTGGCGCCAAAGACCCAAAGCAAAGCTTTCCCGGGCGAAAGTCATTGGGAAGCCGTGCAGAAAGATGAGGGGACCTACGGCGAAATTCCTCCAGGTACGTCCGAGGTCTGGCCAGGTTGAGGGGTCTGCAACTCTCGAGACAAGCCCTGTGCTTGCTCACCAGGACATGACGAAAGGATGTCTCTCCGCATACAACCCGAGAACCATATGACTGCACTGAGGCGCTTGCGATGAAAGCGACGAAGAAAAGGATCGCAAGGATTGGACTTGCCTGCCCCAGACACTCAAGAAAGAGCCCAACGGAGGCAGGCTCGGCACCTGCAAGAGCGGATCCAGGTCTGCCCAACCACAAACCCAGTACAGCAGAGAGCCCATGGTTGCGATGGGGCTGCTGAATCCCTCCACCTTGCAGCAGCAGAAACAAATCCCAAAACTACAAGTAGATGCTGCATGCTATGCATGCTGGATGGTCTGAGGTTGATGCCATTGTGCCGAAGATTACCTGAATTCTCGGAAGGGAACACGGGAAGCGACAACAGGCACGGACATGGTTCCTAACCATCGGCGGCGGACCGTCATTGCCAAGGCAAAGCCCACCATCTGCAGCTTGATGACGATGAGAAAGTACATGTTCCGGCTCTGAGCGCAAGTGGCCCACATCAGACTGGTTCTCTAGACATCTTCGTAGGGCACAGCGATTGTTGGCTTACGATAGGGTCATCCCAGTCTCACTATAGCCTGTAGCCACTAGCCGTCACTAGCCCGTCCTTGAAAGGTCTGAGATCCCAGCCCTGCCCTTGGCCAAGGTCTGGCTGAACTTGCTGACCTTCCCAAACCTGTGACAGGCTTGGCATAGCCCTGCTCTGAAAGAAGGCCTTTGTCTTCATGGCAAGCCCAAACAGCCTGTTAACGATTTTGATGGTCTTGATGGCAATGAAAAGGCTGTTCAGTGCAGCGAACCTAATTCAAGCGGGACAGCTCTGCTAAGCATGAGTATGTGCTAGCTACTCGGACATGTTTTGAACTATGCTCTGCTCTTTGCACATGGCTGTTGTAATTTTACTTCAACTGGCATGCATTACTATGCATCCGTTGAGCGCAACCTCTGAGCTCCAGCTGCAAGAGTCTCATTCGAAACTAGGGCCCGAACTGCAGGAAAATGCTGTAAATGCCTTGGACCAACGAAGAGATCCACACTGAAGCCTTCAAGACTTCAAGGACCATATGGCGATTAACAAGCACTTGGGCCCTGCACTCTGTACAAGCTCGAACTCTTTGAAGAAGTACCAATCATCCTGCCCGAGAACGATTTGGACAATTCACCCAATCTTCTGCGCATTCTGACTACAGGTCCTCCAGGTATCGAACAGGGTTGACTGCCTGGGGCATGGCAAAAGCTTGCGCCGCGTCATTTGGCACCACATACCTGCCAAGCGTCCATCGCTCATTAAGGGCTTGTTTTTCGCAAGTTTGCAGGCAAGATGCTTGGCCAGGTCATCCACGCTGAACTGGTACTGGGCTCTGAAGGTGTTCATTACAAAGACGATGAATGTCCTTCCGAGGCGGAAATACCAAATATGTTTAAATATAGTAATGTAAGGAATATAGTGTTTTTCGTGGCAGCCTCGTATCAACACTTCACAAGCTGCTTCAATGTCTCTGAGCTTTTGGCACGAATGTCGCCGAGGAGATGAGGAGAGACAGCAAGTCCACCACCTCGGCGAAGCTTCGTCAAAGTTCGTGACATTTGCAGCTAAAAGGGTTGATTAGTGCAGGCCACGTTCCATGTCTGGGACAGGAAATCCGCAAGAAACTTGCTGAAAGGCTTCTGCATGTAACGGGACCTAAGCAGCCCGCACATCCAGCTGACAAGATCAAAATGGAAGCTCCACAGCCCCGCCTTTTGAACTCATGGTGGATGGTCCGGCACATTTCCACGATATGATACCTTTGGTGCCCCAAGCCCGTCCGGTCACCGGTCCAGGCCATTGCATTTCTGGAATCTTTGACCGTGCGACGGTGAGCGCACGCGCGCTGGCGCGCTGGCGTGCGGGCCAGCGTGCGTGCGTGCGGGCGCTTTGCTGCTGGTTTTTGTTTATTATGCCGATTGCCGTAGCAAGGTGCAAGAGGAGTGCAGCATAAATTCCGAAGAGCATGAGGACCAAGGTCTGCAAATGGAAATACCCACCTGCGCGTGAAGGCTACCCGCTACCAAAGGATTTCTTTGTTCGCGCCGCTCTCGCTACGACTTGGCGCCTCCTGTGTCAACATTCATTGGGAAGGTCTTCGACTCGGTAGATCTGATCATCACACCCGTCCGCATAAGACTGAACCCGACCTCAGAAAGAGCGTGTCGCGCGAACGGCATCGAACGACACATCAATCTTGGCACAAGCGATATATGCGATATAGCAGGCAGTCAAACCGCTAAGAAACTGACGACATTGTGCGTAAATAAATCCATATTGCCGTTGTAGCTGATCCTGCGCAAGACGCGAAGTCAAATCTGCATAGACCTGCTGTGCATCTGGAACAAGTCCGCAGATCCAAATTGAAGCAACCAGTCCAGTCAAAGACCATGGAGGCAGAATTCTCACTGAACCATCTGTCTGCACCAAGTAGAGAAAGCATCTCCTGGCACCTGTCAACCGATGTTTGAGAGGTGCTTGCACTCTTCGCAGTGACATGTACGCAATTAAGAATTATGGGCGCGGCTCGGCTGCCGTGACACCCAAGGAAAATGCCTGTTGTGACGAATCTCGGCGGGGATTGCACATGGACATGGCATAATCTAGAACTGGGCGGAGCACCAGGCCACCCAACATTCGAAAAGGCCTTCAGAAGTGCTTTGACTGAGAAACATCACCACGTGCTGATGCAACCAAAGCACCCCAGATCTTTGGAGGGCACATCGTACTGAAATTTGAAGGTTTCCCTGAGGCAACGCACGCTCAATTTCGACAACAGGATTCTCTGGTGGCAAGGATTCTTGGGGCATCTGCGGCAGCTGGGAGGTGAGGTTCACGGCCATGGACAAGCTCGCAGTGTCAAGAATCTGCCCATCGGCAGTTCTGCACCTTCGTCGAATGCATCTCGGAACAGCCTTCTCTTAGGGGGATATCGGTGCTGGCAAGGGGCAGCTCCTGTGAAAAAACGTCAGTGCACACCTTGGGAAAGCTACCCACCCAAACCCATGCGTCTGCGCGAAGACTCTTGCAGTTGTTTTTAGCACGCTGCCGAGTTCCAGCATTCGACATTTGGCGTTCTCCGCAAAGTGGGTGACCTGCAGATAGACAGACGACAAGCAACTCTTGAAAACTCGATAAACAAACTCTGAAAAACTCGATAAAAATGGGAGTGCTGCTGCAGTGTGTGGTTTGTGCTTGCAGCCAGCTGCAGGTCGTAGTCATGACCGTCATGATGATGCTGCGATTCACTTCGGGGTGATGATGGTGGACCCCGGTTTTGTCGTCTTTTCAGCGTGCACGGCGCTGCCAGTTAAACCTTAACGGGTTGGAGCGGGCAAGCTCCACATGCAACAAGTGCAAGCCATGAGAATCTATCAAGGGCTTTCGGATTCAGTGCTATCGCTTCGACGAGGCCATCAACACAATAGGAAAATTGGGAAGCCAGGGTCCATACGCAAATTTGCTCAAGCAGCCTGTTTTTGATTAACAACAGTTGTTTAATTAAACAACGTCCGCTGCGATCGTGTGTTCCAGGTGTCACTGGAACCTGTTGTGTGTTTGATGTCCAATTTCCTCAAGCCTCAGCCCTATATTAACCCCAAGGCTTCCCGTGCCATGAGAATGAGGAAACGAGCCTCACCATTTCATATTGTCAGTACTAAAATTCCGATTTCCTTCAGGCCCCTGCATTGTGAAGCCATGGGTGCGATATAAGAGACCCAGCCAACTTCAACGACTCACAGAACGACTACAGTCGGAGACAGTGCCGATAGAAAATGTGAAAGCAGTGGTACCCTATCATGAGCACAACACTACGTGTTCTATGCTCACAACGAAAGTGAGCTCCAACCCAGCCAACTAGGCCAACCAGTACAATACAACTCAATACAGCTACAAACTAGTAGGATTCAAACTCGAGCTTATGCAAGCGTTTGCTTTCTGAAAACGCATGGCTATAACTCACATTCAGACCCACTATACCTGGTTGTCACTCCTAGCCTGAGCATGCGACCGGAGTTCGGGGAATTATCGGAAGCATGTGTGAGCTGGACAGTGTGCTCAGAGAAACAAAACAAGAAACACCACTCACACACCGTCACCTGTCCGACCCTGTCCAAAATGGTAACGAGGGCCTGCTAGGACCAGGAGTTGTGAGACTGCGAGGGGACTAGGACTAGGAAGGCTCTCTGCAGCAGGATCGGCGACCTACGAGTTTATCGGTACTGCTACGACAGAGCTTAAGGCTTCCGGTGCTCCCCTTGCTTGCTGAAGGCTGTGTGGAGGGAGATGCGTCATGCGCACAGCCTCTGGTGTGGCTGGCTTCAGGTGATACTGTGAGATCAGACAAACTCCCTCCCTCTCTCCCTGTTCTGTTCTGCTCTCAGGGGCATAGGGCGCTTGTCAGGCACCCCGCGCCGAAGGGCGCACCCCTGTTTAGGGGCCTTGTGGGGGCTCAGTAAAAGATATGGATGCTCCCTCTCTCCCTCTCTCCCCTCCCTCCCTCCCTCTTTCTTTCGCCAGCGCTATGGTGCAGAGGGGAAGTTCTTTACACGAGTGCCAGAAAATTGCAAGCACACCCCGCGGAGGCAATGATCAGCTGTCTCTCTTTGCTTTGCTTGCGGTATGAGGCGCCAGCAGTCCTGACGCCCCGCGCTCCAGGCTCTTCCCCATGCATCATGCTGACGGAGGGTCTCCGCTGTACGAGGTGTGTTGAGTCGTCCGACACGACTGGACTGGTGCGCCCCCGCGGAAGCAAACTTCAGCAAGGCTTCAGCAGACCCGAATTTCACAAGCAAGGTACAAAGAAAGCATGGTGCAGCAAACCCAGCATAGTGTCCGTGGGTGTCCCTGCTGGCTTGTCCTACAGTCTGGTGCCTCGCCTTACCTGGAAAAGGAAAACGACCTGCATCTACCCTTTTGATCCCTTTTGGGGGTCCTCCGAAGTTCATGAAACCGGCCTCAAAGACCGTATGCAAACCAGGCGCCCAAGAAAAGTGCGCTCGGAAATCGGAGCAACTTGGGTTATCTTCGAAACCTCACTGCTCATCTCCACCTGCTATGCCATCGCTATGCCTCTACCCGCTACCCCTCCTTGGCCCTCGTTTGGAGCATCTCGTAACCTTCTGCCCCTCAGATGCAAAAATTGAAGGGCCCACCCGGAAGCCCATCGAGATGACGTCGCCACGAAGCAAGCTGGCTGAACTGTCAGCCGCACGAAAGTTGTGTTCCTGCAGTGTCAGTAGTTTCTCCGACTCGCGTATCTAGCCATCGACTGAGAGCTTCACAGAAATCCGATATTCCAGTTCGCGATGCGGTTGATGAGTTGTTGCCTCAGACCAATACTTTCACAAAGAAGTGTCGCAGGCACCTCGGAAGAGAAAGCCACAGCCGCAGCTTTCCTGCCTTGATCCTGCTTCTCTCAGGCCATACGCAGAGGTTGCAACGTTCTGTTTGCCATCGCCTACTCACTTGTGAAAATTGCAGCAGTGGACGGGCATCGGTCGCCAGCTTGAGCGCCATCATTTTCGGGGCTAGTCCATTCGGCAGCTGAGTTGTTACACGCTCCTTAGCGGAGTTCGAGTTCCATGACCACCGTCCTGCTATCAAAACGAACCAACACCCCTTGTGCTGTCTGATGAGCGTGCAGTTTGGCACCTTACCCGGACGTTAGGTTCATCCCTTATCGCCAGTCCTTTTTACCGAAACTGCCCAGTCAAGTAACCACTGTGGATCTTACCGTCTTACCGATTTAAAATTTGAGAATAGGTCGAAGACAACCCGTCCCCGATTCCTCTAATCATTCGC